TGTAAACAATAGTAATAGAAACTCTTTAAACTACAAACAACGTACCTAATTAAATAATACAGGTGATCAATCGTGGCTGCCGTTAATAAGACTTTAAAAATAAAAGCTGGTAAATAGTGATGCAAGAATAAAGTTCGTTCAACGAATAAAAAAGGTAAGAAATGAAGCAAATATCCAGCTAATAGTACGTAAGCGTTGTTAACAAACTTTTCCCACTCTTCCTCTGGGATATCAAAACATTGTCTTTTTCTTCTCATTAAATAGAATGTCAGTAGTGTTACATATACAATTACTGAAATCGTACCAGAGTACCAAATCACAATATTCCCCAAAAGATGCACTTGTGCCTGAAACAATGAGTCAAATGTTCACCTTATAAAAACCAGCGAAAATTTAAAACTGTCTATTGATAAAACGTTCATTAGAAACGTTGAAATAACGGGAAAAAAATGTAAAAACAAGAAAAATATCAAATGTAATTAAAATATGCTTAATTTTGTCTTAACAATATGTGTTGATTAGTCAAGCGTTTTCATGTAAAATTTTCCTACTAACATTGCTCTCATTAGACACCCAGTACGCGATCCCGCGGGACATTAACGGCCATTCAAGAGGTCCACTGGAATACATGTGACTATTTTGACCCTCTTGGCCACTAAATAACATCTTGACCTGCAACTCTGCAAATTTCTCCCAGAAGCTTAACGCGGTTGCCTGCAATGGTATCATTTCCGCACTGATCAGTTCTCGTTCCCGTTGTTTCTGGTCCTCACTTTTAGTATATCGATGTTCTTCAACGTTCCATATGGAATTGGTCTGGTCTATCAGTCGATCCGCCACAACTTCATGCTGATTAAAACCCCAATCGGGCAGTTGCCTCCCGCTAAATTTCAACGCAAACTCGGCTCCATTCGCATGTATCAACCGCACTTGGCTCTGAATCGCATGCCATGCATCGCCGGAGTGATCCCTGTTTGTGATTTCCACCCGCCATAGATTCTGCGCTGGCATAGACACGTTGTAATCGATGTAACACGACACTTCCTGACTCTGCGGCGTCATCGGCGCCGCAACATCATGCGAGTTTAACGCTCTGCTCGTGATTCCGTGTACCAATTGAATCACATCGCCGTGCCGAATGGGCTCGCTAGGTTTTGTTACTACTAAATCGTTTTTATCCGGCTTCTTGACGATCCACCAATTGTTAACATCTTTAAATGAATAACAAGTGACTTGCTGCTGATGAGAGCTGCCACGACCATCGGGATACCGCAACGGATACACTTGATTATGACTGTGCAGCCAACAGGCTCTGCCGTAAGTGTGTCTGAGAGTAATCTGCGAACCATGCGTCACTTCCAGAGGCTGCCCTTTCGTGATACTGGCAAGTCCTCCTTCCAGACTCGCTTGAAATGCACTCGTCATTACTGAGTCGTGTGGTCCTGCCTTCGAGAGTACTGCCAAATGTATGTAGAATATACTTAAATATACGGCGGCAATAACAGCGATTAATACAACGAATCTTAGTAAAAGATGAATCCACAAGATTGTATTTGACAGGATCTTTCTTGAGAGCAAGGACCAATAATCGTGAGCGATTAAGAAGAGAGCGAGAGCCATGGAATAAAATCCAACATATTTGACGCTGTAAAAAAATATTTTAATTGCACTCAATCGAGAGTAAGTATAAGAAATGAAAAAAGACTGTAATTACCATAATGCACATGTTAAATTTACAATGCCTAGTATCAGCCATATCCACCAAGACGCTGATGTTGGTTGATCCATAACTTTCCGAAATTTTACAATGCACAATAAGCCGAGCAACGAGAAATACATCAAGATACTTTCCATCAAGATAAATCTCGACTGTGTCAACAGTGCGTTATCTAAAATAGCAAGTATCTATATCGGTTAACTATGTCAATACAATACTATGCGTTATAGGACCGCAGTAGTAAAGATATAAATTTAATTTTAGCAAAGATATCTACGGCTGGATTTAATTTTTTAAGTAACAAATTATGTGTATATGTTACTTATACTGTGTATACAATAGAATTTCGTTATCTATGCGTTATCTTTAACTCAAAAATAACAGAATTTAAATATTAAACATGTTACATTTTTAATCATAAGAAATGAAGATAATATGAAGAAAATGAACAGCATACTACAATCGTCTAATACATTTTCTAATTTGAAAATAGAAATTCTATTCTACTCTTACCGAGTAAGAGTAGAGTTCCACCAATTGCTGCAGCCCATTGCTTCAAACCCAATTCCAAAACAAGATAATATCCTGTAGGAATCAGTAAACTGCCGCATATCGCCGGTACTAGGCGCAACGCGTACAAAGGAATCGCGTCGTTGTAAGGACTTCCGATCCTATCAAATTTGAATTGTCCATCGAATCCAGCCAAGTACGCCGCTGCAGAGATCAATTGCTTCCCTAAAGGCGGATGGGAATCGAAAAAGAACGTCCTCTTCATGTATAATCCAACGTACTTGCCATAATGTAGTTCGTCGAAGCTGTAAGACAGACAAGTAATTATAATATAATAGACTAATATAAACAATAGATAATTGAAATGGATGAAAATAACCAATATTAGTCATTAAATTTTGACTTATAAGCATTGTAATCGGTAAATTTCGCTACTCTAACCACATGTTAAATAAGAGATAAATAAATTTATTTATATATATATATATATATATATA